GGGGGAGGGGGGACTCTGGGGAAAAAGTACTGGGGATGCCCTTTGTATCCCTTAGGGGTAAAAATTCGCGATTTTGGTAATCAGCATTTTCTGGTATCTCTTAGGGTGTCAAAAAAGGAGAGAAGCGTGCATCGATATGGCTTATCCTAGGTGCTTTTTATATAAAATTTAATATTACTTGTTGTGGTATCTCTTAGGGGTTAAAAATCATTCAGTCACACCCTTTTCTAAATACTTCCAGTATCTTTCAGGGGTCTTTTTGAAAATTTCCAACAAGCATCCCCGGTACTTTTTCCCAGAGTCCCTCCCCCCCCCGGGCTACTGTATTTGTATGGATTGTTAGTAAGGGACTCATTATGTGACCTACCTTTTAATGTATAAGCAATGAACTCACTACCCAATGCTATCAGGCTCCCTCTGTAGTACTTCAGATCCCAGTCATACTTTACCATTTGGTTGATCTTGATCTAATAAACAACACTTACAGTGAGACTTGAAGAGTTTGGCAAGTGTCAATGAAGTGTCGGTAATGTGATGAAGTGTCAGTGAAGTGCCGACTTTAAGTGTTGGTCAACTGATGATCAGCCAACAGTTGGCTAAATGTCAATCGACACAAGTCTGCTGTTCATTAAGAACATGATTAACACACAACAACACCCTAAAGCCGCCTACCATTTAGTGTCTTGATACCATGTGGTTACCACAAGATTCACAAAATACATTACATGAATATATTCAAAGTAATAAAAAATTTTTTTTCCATATGTATAGTCAGTACCTTATTGCTGGCTGTGTTATTAGAGTTTGCATTCTGACCGCTGATGACCTCAACTTGATTCCCATAAACACACATACTGCCTTCTGTACCATCACCTTTTAACTGACTAGTAAACAAAGAAACAAGTTGCCATATAAAAAATGGTGCATTACAGTTGCAAAGACAAAGGCATGTTACACTTAGTAATGTTTTATGCAACTTGTGTCACAAATGATAATATAAGTCTAGAGCAATAAAAATAATTTATGCACAATGAAATATTATTAGGCAGTTTCATAACAAATCTTTGCAAGAAGAGCTGTAGGAGGGGTGTAGGTACTAGGTAATGTCTCAAAATTGTTGCAGCAATCATTGTAAAATGTAAGACGTAATTCTATTAAATGTGGCAATGCTGCAACAATTTTGATTTCAAAACAGGTTTTTAGTATGTAACTTGTATCATGGCCATGAAACTGTGAGACAAGTTGCAAGGAACATTAAATAGTTTAACGCCATCTTTTCTGACAAGTGTCTAACTCTCTCTTAGACCATTTGTCAACTATATTTATGTGTAGCTCCAGAAAATTTTCATGCCCCACCATGGAGGAAATTTGAAAATGTCCTACGCTCCTCTGGGATTGCCAATTTTGTTTCATACAAACCTCGTAATTTTTCTCAATGTTGGGGTATAGATATTTTCTGGTAACATACAACACTCACATTGTTTGGTTGATAGGATGAAGAGAGATTCTGGGAGTAGATCCATCCAGAAAACCTGGAATCTCACCCTCTGATAGTGACATATCTGACATAGCCTTAGTTTGAAAACAGGGAAAAAATATTTTGTAAGTATTTATTAATTTTGAAACTTTTGGCAGTTTGTCTACAAAAGAGAACCTTGTCTCTTTTTGACCAGTCAACTCAACGTGTCAACCATTCAGTATCTTTTTATTGTGCACTGAAGAAAAGTAATGGCTATGACTCTTTGTTCAATGTTCTCTTACTAACATCCACTATATTTTTAAGTCTCAGCCTCCACATTTAGTCTTATGTATATGCATAGTATATTTTTTGCAATAAAGGCCCCTCCC